CTTTCCCCTTCTTCGATTTCCCCCTTCTTCGGTTTTCCCCGTCTTAGATTTGGTTGCAAGGGTAGGGGTTTCGAGTGTGGCGACGGAAGCAGGGGTGAGGTTCGATTTTGGCGACGGAAACAAGTAGGGTACTAGGGGTTCGGTGCAGTGGCGACGGAAACAGGGGTGGGAGGCTGGGGGTTCGCGGCTAAGGGTTTAAGGTGATAGGTAGGAGCTCAGCGTTCGTGGGCAGAGGTTTGAGTTTGGTTGGGTCATCGGGATAAGGTAGGGTCACCGCTGCTGCGTCGCCCGCTAGGGGTGGAGGTGGTTGCGGGTTGGGAAGGAGGCGTTTTCTGGTAGGGGCTGGGCTGGGAAGGAGAAGGGAAGGAGAAGGGAAGAGGTAGTTGGGCTGGTTTCGCCGAATAATGTGAGGGCAGGGGATGCCGGCGGTAGCGGCGGCTGGGGCAGGTGGTGCCGGTGGTGGGGCTGGCTGGGTTAGGGGGTAAGGTTTTTTTTTTTTTTTTAATTTTTTTTTCTTTTTTTTAAACCAATAAACAAATGACACGTGTACATGGCGGGTCCCACTAACGGTTTCCATCCAAAAATCCGTTAGTGGGTGGTGAAACCAAATTTTTGGGATTTTTGGTGGTGTTATAATAAAACTTTTTTTTTTGTTGTGTTATTATCAAAATTGGGGTTTTTTTTTGGGTGTTATTTTCTAATTTAGGCTAATAATAATAATAATAATATGATTAGCATAAAAAAAATATATATATTAAAACGCTTTTTAAGTGGAAAACCCATAAAGTTCTAAAACCTTGCTAACATTGATATGAATTCACTTCAAAATTCCCTTGTATTGTACAGTTTCTATTGTGTCCTAATTTTAGCAGTTTTTTTATTTCTTTAATTTCATTAACAAAATCAGAAACATACACAAAAATATTACAACCGAATATGAAGAATACCTTATTTAAAAGCTTTAATGGTAAATTAATGGTAGACTAAAATAAATTAATGATATATGACCATATTTATAATTATAATTACGTGGTTATTCGTATAGGAGTTAAATTCTATTGTTAATTGGATATTCATATTAATTATAATATGTGGTGTGTTACTATAAGTAAAATCCTATTGTCAATAAAAAGATAAAATTTTTCCAAAAGAATTATAAATTATTTTATATATACTTTTTTTTCCTAAATAAATCTATCCAATCTAATCTGCTAACATGACATCTAATCTAATCACATTAATATCTATTTATTGACTACGTGGCTCGACACTTGGCAAAAAACTGTATTGCTAAGTGTCGCTGTCTTGTGGCCTAACTGCAAGATCGACTTTTATTATTAACTAGTTTTGTGCCCAGATGGTTGATAAAATTTTAAGATAACATTTTTACTTGAATGTTAATAAATACGATCATATAATCTATTATGATAATGTAGGATATTTAACATACAATATCATATGGCTTATATTAATATAATAGTGTACTTTTTGTAGTTTTAATTTGTTTGTAAATAGGTATATATGTTATTATTGACTTGAAATTACTTATATTGAGCTTAAATTATTTTCACTGAACTAAAAGTATCTTTACCAAACTAAAATTAATTTTACGGATTAAAACTTATTTTTATTGATTCTCTATTATTTTTTTTATATAAATTAAATAACAATACATTTTGTATGCGGCTAGGCACACCATCTGGCCGGACAAAGTAACCCCTATAAAACCGACCGAGTAACCCTTGTAATACTAACTGAGTAACCCCAATCTATAACACTAATTGAGTAATCACTATAACACTAACCAAATAACCCCTATAGCACTCACGAAGTAACTCTTATAATAGTTGGTGACACGGTTTGACCAGCTACAAATAAAAGTTTGTGATTAAATATATTATAAATGGATCTTATTTTAAAGAACTTTTTAAAACGAATTTGATGATGGAAATAGAATTGGGTTATAGGATATTTATAAAAAGTTATGATTAATTTTGTATATATGAAATATTAGAATTCTATCGATAATAAAACTCTATACAACAATTTTATCTTAAAAAATCTATCCAAAAATCGCTTACTTAGCATCATACGTGTTACAATAATACCTATTTATCGCCTAAGTGGCGCGACACTTGGCGAAATACTGGAATGTCAAGTGTCGCTATCTCGTGGCCTGGCTGCGAGACCGACTTTATTTATTAGTCATATATGATGATATGATATGATATGATTTCCTAAAATAAAAGTTATATTATGATTTAATTTCCCCCCAAACAAAACAACCCCCCACCCACCCTTGTTTTTTTTACGGTATTTTTTAGTAGAATATTTTTAAGAGAAAATTGGTATAAATAATCCAAATTTTAGGCCTTTCGTGGTAAACAATCTCTACTATACATTATTTGCAAATAATTCAAACTTTAATGACCCACTAAAATTATCAACATTTCCACTTGTTTTCCTATAAACTTGGTTAGTGTAGTCTGGGTAGGATATAAGTGGAAATATTGACAATTATATAATGTTATTAGTCAGTTGAGTCTGTTAAAAGCGGATAACTAGTACTAAAATTTGGATTATTTAAAAATAATTTATTATTGAGAATTATTTAAAGTGAAAACGTAAAGTTGGGATTAATTATTTTATCAAATTTTCCTTTTCTTATTTTAAAAATACTTATAATATTAATTGAAGTATAAGCACTATAAAAATAAGGATATGTGTCTATGCAAGTATGAATTGTATTTTCCTCAAGAAAATGCAAGTATGAATTGTACAATTAAATGATTAACACATTCTATTCTAAAACTAAAAAGGCGTAGTTTCATTATGTCTAAATAATACTTCTTTCGTCTCATAATGTTTGTTTTTCTATGTATTTGTGATAATTTCAGAGGAACTTAGGACATTACATGATTTACAATTGTACTTGTACTTTTATTGAATAATACACAATTCAATGTTGAAAAACTGATACGGAGTATTTTTTTTGTTGTATTCAATATAATTCATTTTTGAAAAAAAAATTAATAATAAAAGAAACACTTCCCCATGTATATTATATGTGGGCATAAAAGAAAATATTGTTAATCAGGCAATAAATTGGGGCAACTTCTAAAAAAATGAGGATTACATCATGGGACGGAAAGAATAAGTTATACACATATTTGATTTAAAGTTTATTTACTCAATTTCTTAGCCTACTAAAAAGGCATAATTCCATAATCTCTATATAAAAGTAAACGGAAAGAATAATTTAGCATGATCCAACTTTGAAATACACCCAATCCGACCCAACTCGACCTACCCAAACCCGACCAAGGTATTCGAATTGACACCTTTACATGTTATAAATCTCCACATGCCAAATTTACTAAGTAAAACAATCCATATCAGGACAATTCAAAATAGAGATGCGGTCTATATTAAATTTTTAGAAGGTACGGCGATGGAAGAAGTATTGATCGATTAACAATAGATAGGACTAATGTGATCGATCGACCACCAAAATCATAGTCCTTGCAAAGACAGCAGTGAAGCCTTTAGCTCACTGGTCCCTCGATCTCAGTTGCTCAACTAATGACACAATTCATAAAGATTAATTAAACCCCTTAGAGAGGTAATTAACTCCTACAATAAAATAAATAACGTTGTTGCTTGTTCTTTCTACACTACAGCTGTAACATTACTTACATTAGTAATTTAGTACTAAGGGGGTGGTCATTGGGAGGTGAAATCTTATTAAATGATCACCTCAATTATGAACCTAATTAAGTACATCTAGTAAAAGAATCCGGAGTATTAATTATAATTAGACAAAAGCTAACATACGTCTTAGGGACTTTGGATAACATAACTACAAGTAGAAATATTGAATTAAATATGAATATTAATTATATCAATTGACGCATAATTTTAGCATGCATTTCTAAATTATTGCCACTTTATGAAATATTTTAAAATTTTATGTAACTTTCTAGGGTGTTTGTAAAAAAAATCCAATTAATTATGGTAGTAATAATTTTAGAATTTAAATATGGTCAATGCAGTTAATAAATAAGGTGGGTGTTAATGTGAATGAATGAATAACTGGTGAGTGACTGCCATGCAATGGTGAGAGTGAAACCACATGGATGTTATGAAAAGTGTGTCAGACCGTAATTGGTGCACTAAGCTTTGGTTGTACTTTGAACTGGTTAGATTGTGCTCGATTAACGGACCGCAATTTTGGATGTTGTAAATGTAGTGTGCTTTGCATTAAGGTGTAGCGTAAGGCTCGGCAACAAAGGCTATGACCTCGTTGCAATCCAAGATTTGACTTCATTTTATTTTTGTAATTAGATTAATTTTTTGCATTAATTGTATAGTTATATATGCTTAATTGTTTGTATATCTTCTAATTCACTTTTTGTGAGTTTTTTACGAGTTATTTAATTGTGGATTTCTTGATTTTAAGAGGTGATTAATCAACGTTATTTTTATTATTTCAAATTAGTTAGTAAAAAAGGTGATTTGATTAAAAAATTATGTTAAATTTTAAGTATATTTGTGCTATATGAGGTTTAGTTTATTTTATTGTTATTTTCTTTTTTCTTTTTTCTTTTGATTTAGCCTAATGTAACTAAATGTCTTTTCATTAATTTTGTTGTTTTAGCTAGATCGACTCCCACCCTAATCTATATAACTCCTCAGCGATCGATCTTTTAAAGATCTTGGTTGACCAATCATGGCTAAATGGAAATTATATGGGAGAAGATCTGGGCATCGAAGCTCATTGCTAGTAGCATTGGGGGCTGATATCTGTGGTTTGGTAAAGTCATTATGGTGTTATTTAATGCGAAACAACCGAAAGAGAATCTATTGTATATTAGTTCTTGTCCAAATTTTAAACATAGAAACAATGTTATATACTCCAATAAACCTCATGCTAAATCCAAATATACTAATTGATAATTTTTTTTAAGGTGATTTCAATAATCTTTTAGACTATTTAATTTAAATACAATGACTTTCTAGTTTAGTCTACTCAAATTAATTAGACCAAAAGCAAAACTAATAGACCGTGAGGTTTAAAATTTTCAATTTTCACGAAGTTGATAGAAATCCATTTATTTCACATTAATATACATAGAAGAAAACTCTAGAAAATGATCTCTCACCTCAAAATTAAAACAATCTCCCCGTCTAACCCCTACTCTTCTCCCCCCAAATAAAGAAAAATAAATCAAATTACCGTTATAAGAAGAAACAACCCACTCTCTCTCCACCACCTCCCCTCTTCACTCTTCCCTATCTAACTATCTATCCCTTCACTATCCTACAAAACACCAACCAAGAAACCCACACCTTCAATTATGATAGCATATCATATCATATCTCTTTCCTTTGAACCTTCCCACCTCTCAAAAATGTAAAACCCATCTCCATATTCCTCCCCCTTATCACCCCCCCTTATTCCTAAGATCCAAATCATTACATCAAATGGGGAAGAAATTAGACAATTCTAGACTTAATAATTATAGATCAAAAACCCTCCCATCTTCACCTACTCATTCTTTATCCTCGTCCTCATCCTCATCCTCATCTGAATTCGAGTTCCGTAACTCGATTTCGCCTCGTAAGTCTTCCGCCGCTCTTTGCCCTGCCGATGAGTTGTTTTACAAAGGTCAGCTGTTGCCTCTTCATCTATCACCTCGTATTTCTATGGTCCGTACCTTACTATTAGCATCTTCCTCAACCTCCTCTTCTTCCGATACTACGACTACCGCCTCACGTGACTCTTCCTCGTCTAATGACTCTACTTCCTCGTCTTTCGCTGCTGATCTCTCTCTCCTCGCTGCTGGTGACCCTTGTTGCGACTCCTCTCGCCCTAGCTCTGTCACCGACGATGACAGCAACAACAACAACAAAAGCTATATCAATAATAATTGCCAGGATTATTATCTGAAACCGCGTTCCAACAACAACAACAACAGTAGCAATAGCAATGTTAAGAAGTCGTCGTCATCATCGTCGTCGTCATCTAAGTACTTTTCACTTTCGAGATTCTCGAATGTGTTTAAGAAAGATCCACCTTCTACTAAAACAACGACAACAATGGCGACAACGACAACAACGATGACGACGACGATCACAACTGAGGGATCGTCGGTGAAGAAGGTAAGTTCTTCAGCTAAGGAGGTTATAAGAAAATACATGAAAAAAGTGAAGCCTCTTTACGATAAGCTCTCGTCTAAACAACAATCATCGCCAATACCCGATAAAAGGAGAGATACTCTACCATCGGAGACGACGGCGGCTTTGTTAGAAGAAACAAAGGAAACAGCGGAAGCAAGCGGCGGTGGCGGTGGAGGTGGTGGTGGTGTGGGAAATGGGTTGACTCAGTCATTTTCAGGGAACTTGAAAGTTCCTAGAATGATCCGTAAGAGTTGTGTGGCTAGTTGTCCGTCTTCGATGCGGTCATCTCCGAGTCACTCTGGGGTGCTGACTCGAACCGGGTTGCCGATGCGAGCCGGGTTAGCGAGCTACGGAAGCGGGTCGTATTCGTCGGAGACATCAACAATGGAGGAGCTGCAGAATGCTATACAAGGTGCAATTGCTCATTGTAAGAACTCCATGGTTCAAAGTAGCAGTTCAAGCTTCAACGACAATAATATTGGTATTGTTGGAAATGGCAAAGGCAAGGCTTTAATGATTTGATTATAACTATTAAGCTGTAGGACTTAATCATCGTTACTCTTTATGTTCGGATTTAGTTGTCGCATTAATAGATAATTTCAAATTATACTATTATTGTGATTCTTAATTTTCGAACAGAAAGAGTAATTTTATTGTTTAAGATATTTATTAGGTCTTGATTGAGCTAGTACTAGTTAGTGGTTACGTGATACCCCGATGGTACCTCGTGTGTGTTTATGTTCGAGTTTCGATATTGAGATCCGATTTGACTATCTGACAAATAAGTTACTTAAGTTTTTAGATATCAAAAAAAATATAAAAAGTACTCGGATTTATATTTTCTCCGTCTCAATTTACTTGTTCAATTTAACCGACTTTTACAAGATCGCGTTAATCAGATTGAGATGCTAAGTAAATTGAACAGAAAAAATAAAATTAGTTGTTTAGTTGTTTTCAAGAATGAAAAGGAAAGACGAGGCGAGTTTGATAAATGATAAGGTACCACATGTGACTTCTGAAAGTTGATGTTTGGTACGAGTACTAGTCTATTTTTATAGTTGTTACGGAAAATATTGTTTGGAAGATGCTCTTTGATTTTATTATTTGTCTTATAATGTGGTCATCTTTGTTACTTAGATTTTGGAATATACTGTGAGTTGTACTACTTGAATTACGGACTACGAGTACATCATTTCATTCAAAAATACTCTTTTGGAGTGAAATTATTTGTCATGTGCTCTTGTATAAAGTATAATGCAAAACGATATTTTAGGATATCTAAACAATTTGGCTCTTTCTCTATATTTTTTGTAATTAGATTTCATGACTTCCAATGATTTAATTTAGTGATGAAGAAGGTATAATTGATCTTATGATTGTATACAGTATTATGAATTGTCCTTTGTTCTCCCATATCATCTATTTCAATTCTAAGATGTTTTAATCGGAATATTTATAGTAGTTGTTTGATTTAACATTGTTTGGCTTAATCTAGTCAAGTTTTTATAATTATTTTATGATTTGGTATGAGCTTTTTTGGTCTGATTTCTGATTTGATTTTAACAATAATAAATATTATTCTAGGGACTAATTGATATGAGGAAATAATAAAAATAAGGTGAAGAAAATAATTAAATAGATATGAGAGTTTAGTAAACTAATTCTCGACTTGCATAAAAAAAAAATCAGCAACTTTTGTGTGCGGCTGGCCACACGGTCACACCGTGTGGCAGCTGATACATACCAAGTAACCCTAATCGACAAGTAACATGTGATCGAGTAACCTCTAACCGACCGAATAACCCCTAACCGATTGAGTAACCCATGACCGATTTAGTAACCCTTAATCGGGTGAGTAACCCCTAACCGAGTAACCCCTAACCGACTTAGTAACTCCTGACCGACCGAGTAACCCCTAACCGACTAAATAACCCCTGACCGACTTAGGCCCTTTCTTTTGAGTTGTTTTGCTCTGCTCTGCTATGCTTAAAAATAATAATTAATATTAAATAAACATAATAATTTTTATTAATATTTAATAATAATACTAATATTTATAGATAATAATAACTAATATTTATAGATAATAATAATTAATATTTGATAATAATAATAATAAATATTTTATAATAATAATAATAAATATTTTATAATAATATTAATAATAATTAATATATAATAATAATAATAAAATAATACGATAATAATAATAGTAATAATAATATTATAATAATAATAGTAGTAATAATAAATAATAATAATAATAATAATAATTAATAATAATATAATAATAATAATAATAAAAATAAAATAATAATAATAATAATAATAATAATAATAATAATAATAATAATTATTATAATAATGCGATAATAATAATAATAATAATAATAATGATAATAATAATAATAATGAAATCTACTCTGCTCTGCTTTGCTCAGCCCTGCCCTGCTGAAATCTGTTCTGCTATGCTCTGTCAAAATTTGCTCTGATCTGCTCTCCTTTGCCCACAAGCTCAAAAGAACAGAGCCTTAGTAACCCTAACCAAGTGAGTGATCCCTATAACACTAATAAAAGAATCCCATAATAGCTGGCCAGACCGTGTGACCAGCAACATATAAAATTAAAGTTTGTGAAATAAAAAATTGGTGTTAACAATATAGATTTGTACGGTTGTACTACCTTCATTTTATGATCATCTTACGATTTGACAGTTTTGTTGATTTTAACATGTTGCTTTATTCTATCTTATCATACCATATATACTACTCATATTATGTTTACATCTTTCTACCCAATTTACAATACTTCATTCATCTTATTACACCCACATCTTATTACACCCACAACTTGTATACTTTTCTCATACTCATTCACCTTTCGCACTCTCTCCATTGTCTTAATGTTTGAGCAAGTAATTGCGCTATAATAATTGTGTAATAGTGATAAATATTTATTTATAAATAATACGTAAAAACCTATAGTTCTTCAAAATAAAAAAAAATAAAAATTGTAAAATCCTATATACAGAGATATATATGTGTTGCGATGGCTTATCTGTTCCGACAATGCAAATTAATATGACATATTATTAGTCAATTAATGTTATTAATGATTTGGTCATTTGGAGACTTATTTAAAGCTAAATTTTGATTTATATACTGTTATTCGAAAACAAAAATTTCAATCAAGTGACATATCTTATCCTCACACTGGCTATTGATTGTTGTCATGTTTAATAAGTTGGTAAATCTATTAAGGGTTTGTTTAATCAGCCAACTTACCAGTTTCGACACCTTATCAATTTTACATATTACTCATCCTTTCATTTTAGTTAATTTATTAGTTTTATTTAAATTCCGTAAAAAAAAAGAAAAATTAATTTCAATTATTGTGGCCAAACATAATCAAAGTAGCAATGTTTTTCAGTTCCCACAACATGGCATGTATTTTTTAGTCCTTTTTCTCGGTGTCCTTTGTATTGCTTGGTTCACAAAGGCTATGTTTGGTTCATGAATTTTGTTAGATTTGTCTCAATATATTTTTAGGTGTCGTTTGGTTGACATAGGAATTAATTTCCTATTGGCATTTGTATTTCATGAAAATTAGAATCCCACATCAAAGTTCCTAGGAATTAACTAAACTTGTTTGGTTATTATATAGGTATTTACAAATCATGAGAATTTTGAATTACCAAGGGGGAGATTGGTAATTAAATTCCCAAGATTTTACACTTCCCTCATTTTCACTTTTTATGTTCTACCAAACAAGCACCCTATTTCCAAATTCATGAAAATTTTCAATTCCTCCATTTTTTATGTGCAACCAAACACCACCTTAAACTGTTAAATTTTTATACTCAACCCTCTTATCACTTTTTATTCTTTACGTTTTGAATTACACAATCTTCAATATAGGCCATGTTTGGTAAATGACTTTGTGGTTAACTTTTGACTTTTAGCTTTTTTATGTGGTCAAACAGCCAAAAAAAGTGTTTGGTAATTGGCTTTTCATTCAGCGAAAAAGCTGGCTTTTAAGCCAAAATGAAAAAGCTGCTATGAGTAGCTTTTTTTTGTTGGCTTTTGGCTTGTTGGCCCACAAATTATCTAATTAACAGCCAACAACCACCAACTAAATTTACAAAACACTTTATAAACTACCAGCTTAAACAGCCAATTTCAAAAGCCATTATAAACAGCCAAACATTCCAGCTGGTCAAACAAGCCAAGTGAACCAGCTAACCGCTAACAGCCAACTGCCATTTGCCAAACAAGGCCATAGAGTGGTTTACATAATTTTGGGCTCATTTAAAACTATTTTACAATTTTGCGTTAAAACGAAACTTATTTAAGAATATACGATCCACATAGACTCGAAAATACACCTGGTGATTTTTTTTTTCTTTTTTTTTTAAGGTCAACAGTTTTAGTGTTAAATCCGCTATAAGTAGTGGTTTCTCTTTTAATTTATAACTAGCCTTCTGGCCCGTGCAATGCACGGGTTGTTTATATATACAATATAAACTTTGATTTTATAATATGTTTTTATTGGAAGGAGAAGGGGTGAAAATTGAATGTAATTGTAGAAGATATTAAGTTGAGGAAAAGTGAACCAAACAACATTCATACATGTATTTAATTAAAGCTAGTGGCGTTGTTGTTTTTTTTTTTATTTTTTTTATTTTTTTTATTTTTTTTTAATTTAATGTGAGAAAGGGGATTAAAAACAAAAGGTTAAATGAGGTGACATGTTACATTGGTGAAAAATAAAATTTACATGTGGCATCATGGGGATGATGGTTTGTGTTTTAGATACTAAGTATAGATAATACTCAAAATTGTTGATGCTAAAGACATTAGTAACTTTAGGGAGTGGTTTTACCTTGAATAAATGAAAAGTAACTGGATAAATTTACCCGAATTTACGCGGACAATAGTTCCATAAATAAGATAATTTCGACATAAAAGTGTAAATAAGTTTTAAAACAAGCATATATTTGTAACTCACTCACCAATATTTATCTTTGACCGCGTATATATTCAACATAATATGAGCAAAAAATCCTTAAAATTAATATTTAGAAAATAATACATTTCAAACCGCATCTAACAAGATCCTATGTGATTAGTTTTGATATTTTAAAATAGTGAACTTTTTGTCAAAGTTTTATAAAGTTAATCATAAAAGTCAAACCCTAAAGAATATAGAGTAACAGAGGGAGTAATTTTTACTAATTTATAATTAAATATATTAATGCTATAGAATGTGTATTGACAAACGTGAAAACTCTAACGTTACGATTTGAAAAACGGAGGAAATATTATTTTGTCAGAGTAATGTATAGTATTTTTAATACGAATCTACATTATTAATTAAAAAGTAAGGGTTAATGAGAGGAGAGCAAAGCCCAAATCATGTGCCACATCACCAAACCAACCATTTTAATTATAAAAGTTAGCTATCAAACCAAAAAAGGGCACTATACTTAATTTTTCAAAACTAGAGTGCCACTTGATGGAATTGGAAGAAAGTTTGTCTTCCGTACATAAGTTTTTTATTCCTGGAGAGGCTGTCATGTAGAATTTCCTATTAACTGAACTAGCCTTTTGGCCCATTCTATGCACGAGTTATTACTTATAGATTTATTTTCTTGAGGTGTATTTGTAAGAAAATGAAACACTTCATTTTGTTACTTAAATAATTATGCAAGTTAAGGAATGCCTAGAGTCTTTAATTGTTTAACGTTATATAATCTACATTTAAGCTAGTGAGAGTGTGAAAGAAGTAATGTTGATTACATGTAATGCATTAACTT